TGTACAGTATTTGAAAAATAATGTGTTTTTTGAACATTAAAGCATGTCAACATATTCTGTTACACCAAATACACAAAATAATGATCTTTAAAATAGCATCATATGACCCCTTTAATACTACACACATTTATACTATATAGAACATAGCTTTTTAACAGTCGTGAAATAGTAACTAAAGAATTAAAAAAACTACATACTCAGAATGGAATTTCAAACACATGCAGCTAAAATATGTTTATGGAAAATACTGAATGCACCTTTAATTGAATAGAATTTTAAGAAAAGTTATGTAAAACATTAGATGTAATTAAAAATATCACCAACTGTTTTTGGTTGATTTTTGAATCAACATGAAATCAAAATTGATCCTCTTTATTTTCTTAATACGTGTTCCTAGTCTTATCATTGGTGCAAATTATTCCAAATATTACATTTCAAGCATATGCATTATTAAAACACTTTTCCTTTCTGAATTAATTCACAAAGCCATTTTATTATTCAACTCCTCCCATCCAAACCATGTAGACTCATATAGAGGATCAAATTCCACCACCTACATTGTTATATTACTATTGTAAAATTGACTGTGAATGCTGTTAAATTCATGCTTAAGTTCACTTCACTTTCCATGTTTCCCCTTTAATCACATTGCCAAATTCAGCTCATCAACTATATGATGATGAATCAAACTAGCATGTATACATCACTTTATCCAAAAAGAAACCAGCAGCTCAGTTCACTGATATATTGTACAGACGTTAGAGCATAAGGAATGCAGGGTAATTCACATGAACGCTTCCTCCTTCATCATAACTACATCTATGGGAGCTTCTTTTTTTTTCCTGCACGGGCAAACGTTTCGAGGAAAGACTTGAAAAGAGCAACATTTTCCCCTAATGGACATATTTTTCTTTAAACATGAGCCTAAGCTGCTAGTGCAGTAAACCTCTGTCTCCAGCTCAGTGGTGTCCGAATGGAGGTCCCTTCACTCATGTGTCATTGAGCCACATTTGATATTCTGGCCGCAGTCTTTCCTGTGGTGCCATTTTGAAGCTTCCCCATTGAGGTTCCATTTACCCAGGCCACCGGGAGCCTCCAGCTGGGCGGACTCTCTCCACGCGGTCCCTTCCACTGTAGATCGGCCCCAGCAAGCCGCTCCGCCAATATGTTAATATGACGCTTTCTGAAACAACTCATATTCACGCGGTAAGCAGGCCCAGCTATTTTCACCCCAGTAGACGAAGAACACGTCTCACCTCTGCGCTTTACAAAATACCGGAAAATTACTGATTTTTTCTCTCCGAACTAAACATGCAGATTTCTGAAAGGTCATAAATAAGAGGATTTAAATTCCTCAGCTTTGAAGTTTTGAAACGAATTAATGCACGTACAAAAGAAACATTCAAATTCAAGTTTTGTTAACATATTTCAGTGCATTTTCATCTTTCACATGGAAGAACCCTTACGAAAAAGAAGCTTATTCAAGTGTGCTATTAGTATACTTCTTTTAAACTAAAAATAGGAAAGTATACTTTCAGTCTTCTTTTTATGTACTTCTCGGACATGGGCTTTATGTACTTCTCATAAATATACTTAAAATGACATTTGACTTATACTTATAGCCTTATAGATTTATATCCTACTTGTGCTCCGAGAATCCGTGTTTTCATTGTTATACTGTAGGGGGCGCTAGTACACATCTTCTGTACAGAATTTCCAAAAAAACACAAGTGAAGAAGAAACCGAAACATCAGATGCTTCCACATGTATTCTAACATGATCATCAGATATAAAACAGCATCAAAACTGTGTAAGGTTATGGAATAAAATGTCGACCAATGAAGAGGTAATAATGACTGTCAAGCTTTGGGGTGTTGATCGACTCCATCTACGTTTTGATTATCATTCTGAATCCAATTAATAGTCTATTTTCAGCTTAGTTTTTTTTCGGCAAAATGTTGTTTATTTCTTTATTTTGTTTTTATTTATAAAACTTACCCACATTCAAGTGTTTATAAAAAAGCTAGAATAAAATGTTTTTGTTTACAAGCAGATACCCTGTTCTTTTGATGTTTATATGCTCAGATATTCATGTAACAACATATAAACAAATTAATACCTAAATAGGGACATAGTAGTATATTTAAAGTATGATGTAAAGTTCACTTACGAGCATACTTGCAGTATAAAACTACTAAACCAGTAGTTTACTGAGACTATACTTCAAAGTGTACTAAAAATGCATTCAGTATTTAATTAGTAAACTATCAGTATACCTATAAGTTCACTTTTAGTATAGTTGCAGTACAAACTAAAAACATAGATGTAAACTAGTTGTGTAATCAAAGTTCACTACTGTTATACTTAAAGCATACTTAAAAGTATACTTCTATATACTAGAAAGTGGGCCAATTTAGTCCCAAGGAGTATTGAAATAGTACACTTACAAGTATACTACTAGTATACTGATATTTGTATACTTACTACATAAAGTATACTTAAAAATATACTTGAACTTTACTTAAGTTTACTTAATAAAATAAACTTGAATTATACTACTTTTTGGTAAGGGAAGCTAGCCTGATATGTTGCTTGACATGTCCTCATCCTCAAAAAGCGTGAGCTAAACTGTACTCCTAAAAATAAAGCTTCCAAAAAGAGGGTTTTTGCAGCAATGCCTTAGAAGGAAAGAACCTTTAAATGAACAGTTCCTAAAATATATATTTTTTTCTTACACTCTTAAAAATAAAGATTCTTTATTGGCATCTGGTTCCATGAAGAACCTTCAAGAACATCTAGGGAAACGTTCCATTCCAAAAAAAAATTTCTTTATAGTTCTTTATGGAAGATGCCAAAAAAGAACCATGATTTTTAAGAGTGTATGCAAGGTCAAGTCAGATAACATTGAGTACAGCGTTAAGTTGTAACTTGATTTGCCATGAGGCGAAACCAAACCAACTCCCACAGTTCCCGTTATTCCCCCGACCAAATCAATCAATAACTCTGATACAACTCTGTGTTCTGTGTTCTGTGTTCTGTGTTCTGTGTTCCAGCTCAGCTTCAACAATCAAGAATGTGTTCCTGGTTTGCAAGCCAATTTGTCAACTTGCCTGAAATCACATCCTCTCGCACATCAGACGAAATCTCAAAGCAATTAACTTATTGTGTTGTACTTCAATCTAAAGATATGAGATAAGATACCCGCACCATTGTACAAAAGCTGCGTTTTGCCTTTCCATTTGAGTGTGGGTGTCTTTGTGCGTTAGATTGTGGATAAGCCAGCGCAAGGTAAGCTAGGAGAGCGAGAGCCACAGATGTGGGCCTTTCTAAAGGCTCTGTCTGCCAGCCTGTGTTTACCTGACACTCAGATTGACAGAGGAGTGATTGGAAATATCCCCCACTCACTGGTGCGAGCCCCTGAGTGCAAGGAAAGTGCTTTTGTAGTCTGGCTGTAATGGGCCAAGTTTGAATTGAAGGTTGAAGGAAAACGCTGCTCTCTGGTCACTCTCAGGGAGGAGCTGACACAGTGGAAACGAGTCTTAGATCAGGAGCGCAGCTGAGAGTGCAGAATGTCTCTGGGCTGTTATCTCAATGCAATCGTGCTAATCTTTTAGCGGTTATAAAAGCAACACCGCTGCCGCGAAACAAACTCCAGAGACTCTTTTCTCCTTCTGTAGGATGATACAAAGTGATTTTTTTCTATATGATCTTGGTGATATCAACTTCCACCCAGTTTTTTCCACTAATGCTCTCTGGTGAATAACAAAACAATCTGCCGAATTTGCCCCCCAGACAGTCTAATTTCCTAAGTTAATTTCCTCATTCTGTGCTGCTGAACTCCCTTGACGTACTATGAATCAGGGAGACATAGGTGCATCGGTTGTCTAACTTAGGGAAAATTAGAAATGGTATTATCCTTTTTTTGTGAGATGGTGATGCTAACAAGAGTAGTAGAACACAAACTTTCATTCCTATCGTTAAGTATGAACAATATTAGCATGATTTTTCCCCAAACCAGGGAAATCTAATTTCACTGGTCAACTCAATAAATGCCATCACTTAAGAACTTTATGGATTATGGATTCATCTCAGAATTCAAAAAACAATAATAGTATATATCAAGATGTGCTACCAAAGCTGTACTAAATTTAATGGAATAGTTCGCCCAAAAATGAAAATCTGCTATTTACTCAGCCTCACCATCACAATAATCCACAAGTAATCCATACGATTCCAGTCCATCAGTTAACGTCTTGTGAAGTGAAAAGATGTATGTTTGTAATAAATACATTCATCATTCAGGTAAACTTCAAACTGTTGCTTCTGCCCAAAATAAATTCTATATTCATAATATTACTTTCTCTAGTGAAAAAGTTGTCTTGTCTGAATCAGGGATATGCACAGATTAAGCACTGTTTATTAGAAAATCAGTCCAAAGCAGCTCGTATTATTATGAATTGTGACCCTGGAGCACAAATCCAGTCTTAAGTCGCTGGGGTATATTTGTAGCAATAGCCAAAAATACATTGTAT